AACAAGTGATATAGTTGTTGTTTGTTTTTTTTACAATAAAGTCAATCAGTTTCATTGTTTTTCAACTTAAGGGTGGCATGCTGTTACGTAACACTGGGGCAGCAGGTCCTCAGGCTACTCAGAGCCTGAGGAGTCAGGAGGCGGCTTACCTGGGTTTGACGGCCGACACCTTTGCAGTTCGGCTCAGGAAGACGGTGGCAGAGGGGGTCTGCGAGTTGCGGCGGTTTTTCTGGTCATCGACTGGATGATCTGAGCTGCAGGAGCTGTCTTCAAACGGGTTGGTGGGCTGGGGGGCCTCGAAGGGGTTTGTGGAGAGGTGGGAGGCAGGTTGACCTTTGGACTCAGAGCGAGGGGCCGGGGTGGGCCGCTTCTCCTCGGCGCTTTGGTGCTGCGCCTCCTCCTTCTTCTCCTCCTTCTTCCTGATCATTCCAAACAGGGAGGAGAGCCGGTCGCTCATGGAGGCCTCTTCCTGACGCTTCTGCTCCTCTGCTCTTCTGTGCTCTTGCTCAAGCCTCTGGTTTTCAGCCGCTTCAAGGGCTTTCAGCTCCTCTTCCTTCTTTCTCTTCTCCTTCTGCTCTTCCTCTTCCTTCCTCTTTGCTTCATCCTCCAGGAAGCGTCTTCTCCTCTTCTGTTCCTCTTGCTGCCTGAGCTGCTCTTCCTCCTGCAGTCTCTTGGCCTCTGCCCTGTATTTCTCCTCTTCCTCCAGCCTCTTTGCTTCTGCAATGCGTTTTTCTTCTGCTTCTCTTCTTTTCAGCTCCTCTTGATGGTGCTGTTGCTCCAGGAAAGCTTTATCAGATGAATCTGCCGGGGCATTAGAGGTGTGTTTGCTGACATCCTCTACAGAGCCTTGGCCTGAGCTGTTCAAACTGAGAGTTGATCCACTCTTGGCCTCGGCCTCTTCAGCGTACACGTGGTTGCCATTGATGCAGAGGTTGTTCAGGTCACTGTTGCTCTGCTTGGAGCGGCCCAGGAGGGAGAAACCTCCCAGAGAAACCTTGCTGTCGGAGCTGCCCGTCCGCTTGTGTCCCAGGAATCTGAATTTCTTTTTACCTGTGAGGGGAGAATGACATCTTTGGAGCAATGCAAAAGCTTTATTTAAGTCAAGCTGAGCAGCAGGGAAAAGGCAGAAGTGCATGCAGAGAGAAATGGGCGGATTTTACCTTCGGGCGAGTCCACGTTGAGGCCAGACGAGCGGCTGCCACTGAGGGACGAATTCTTTTCAGGAAGCGTCCCCAGAGTTGACATGGACTGTGAGATGTTGCGCTGCAGGTTTGATTTAGGTGCAAAGAGGGTTTTGAGCTTCGATTTCTTTTTTGCCCCAGGTGTCTGATTAAGTGACTGTGCGTCAGCCTCCCCTTCGCTGTCTGTGAGGACCTGGCTGACAGAGGGAACAATAGCTGAAGCAGAGTCGGAGAAGCCGTCCCTTTTCTTCCCGCGGACTTTGTCCTTCAGTTTGGAGATGCGGGAGCGCGGTTTGTCTTGCATTGAAAGGTCAAACATGCTTGCTGACATGTTGTTTCTCATAAACTGGATATCTAGGAGCACCTCTCCTCGCACCTTGTCCTCCTTTCCATTCTTGTCCACAAGCTTGAACCATCTGAAACGACAAAAAGAACGAGTCCGTGTAAATATTCATCTTTGAAACATAAATTTACCTGATTAATACATTTATCTGAAAAAAAAGAATAATTCATGGGGTAAATTTAGCCACTTTGTATCATAACAAACAGTTAAGTTTAAGTTCAGCTTCAGATCCCAGGGAAAAAAGCTTTTTTGTATAGCTTTTAGCTAAATAAAAAAAAAAAAAGAAAACAGATTTTGATACAGGTCTTTTTTTTTTTACATGCATCTCATCCACATCTAACAGGTCATTTGTTTGGGAAAGAGAATATTTTTAAAATTCCAATCCCGATGGAATCCTGGCCACCTTCAAACATTCGGTTCACATAAGTGTGTCTCTGAATATCTGAGCTCTCCCTTTGTCCATATAGCGTGCTAAGCATGTTCAAAACAAGTGTCCAGAGTTGCTGAGCTGTGCTTTTATATATTGTCATTTTCTTTTTAACTCTCCTTGCTGCCTTTGCTTTGACCGTGCAAAAGCCAGGACTTCATTTTGTGATCCAATTCCCAGCCGCAGAAATATTAAAGCCCCCAACCCAGAGCAGCCTTCTAATCTGAAGGCTTCTCCTGTTTACTGTCCATTTACCACAAACAATGAAACATTTTAGAAACAGCAAATCGAAAATCTTTGTGGTTTGCAGAAAACCGCGTATGTGACATAAAGCTTTAAAGTACAGCGTCCTGTTCGACCCGAGAGTGACACGCATCATTAACAGGTGTGCAGTTTGTTCCAGTTCCTGTTGGGCGTACCACCACGGCCGCAGATAAAGCCTCACAATCGCAGCTTTGTTCGGGCTTTCCCGCTTCATGTTCTTTTTGTCGAACAGGAGCAGCACTTTTTGTCTGAAAGGCAGAAGTAAGAGCGTTCTGGACTGTCATGTTTAAAGCACAACCAAAACAAGCAGTTAGTACCACAACATTCAGGATGTTTTCTTTTCTATAGCATCGCCCTGATATTTTGAAGCTATGCATCAAATGGTGAAATGAGGGGCTTGTATAAACTAGGCCGTTCCAGACTGAGTTTCATTTTGCAGGATCCATTTTCAATCTTGCAACAGATATCCACACCGGCTCTTCTGGGGACGACAGTCAGGAAACAAGCTTGGGAGTGAACCAACATTCCTCAAACACCTCCAAACATGCAAGGAGGTGCCATTTGGAACGTGAGGCGAGGCGTTAGAATTCCAATTCTCACACTCCCATCTCCCATAACTAACCGAGTCCAAACACAGGCTAAAAACACTGTCAGGCACGCCTAAGAATGATTTTTTTGTTGTTGTTCTTGTTCACAACGATCATGAAAGGGAGAGCAATTACACAACTGTCAAGACAAAGAGTACTGATGGAGTTATTAATAGGTGGGGGCTGTGTTCAGGACCTGTATTGTTTGCACAGAATACAGCACTGTGCTCCTGATGTATTAGCTCACTGGTCCGGCTGGACTGGTTCCTCCATTAACTGTCACTTGCACTTCTCTTTCACATTAATGATTAACGAGATATCCCCAGTTTAAACTACAACAGAGAGCATTCCACCCATAAAATAATGACATAGCATGCAGTATACAGGCTTCCCTTCTGTTTGTACTATGCACTCTTTTATACCCATGGCTGCTATTTGAATCTGACTCCAGGCATTTCTTGTGTTCTGATATTATCAAACAAAAAACACTTGACAGCTTTACTTAGACTTACTGAATTCAATTTTAAATGTTGGTTCACAGTGCTGGATATCATCTGTCAGGATAGTCAGCTTTTAGCAGCACTGGCCTGAACTTTGTTTACACGATAAATAAGGTGGCTCATGAGTCTGGGTTTTCAGCCAATCCCGCCTCATTTAACAATGCAGGAACAACAAACGTCCGATTTAATTACTTCTGTCATCATTAATGACAAAAGTGTGGTCCAACTCCGAGATTCAAACTGGTCTTTCATTGTTGTTCTGTTCTTGTGTCACATTCAAATGACGTCATGGGCCGTAAGGAGCTCTTTTATAGCTGAAAACCACCTAAACTGAGTCCTAGTGATGCAAGCAGAGCCAGGTAAGGCTGAGGTAGGGCTAAGTGGGTACCAGTGGAAAACCCTTAGTTGAAACAGACTCACTACTGACAGACAGGGGGCGAGAATTTGCCAGTTTTCAGCTTTATTGGCCATGACAGGTTGACTAAATGATCTCTGTCGTATACCAGATGCTCAGACGGTTAGGTACATAAATTGATGGATGGTTGGGAATGGTGTTCTAAGAGGGAGTAAAATTACACACTAACGTGTTGTTAGTAGGGAAACTCTTAACCGTAATTTAAGAACATGTTTGTTCCTTTGCAAATTAGCGCAAATACACTATATTTTCAAAATCTTTCACTCACCCATCCAAGTAATCGAAATCAGAAGTTCCAATCATTTCCACGACCACAATAGATCCAGCACGTAGGCATGCGGATTGTTTATAAAAACATTTGTAAAGAATGGGTTGATATTGTGGGCAGTTCCACGCTCCCAGCTTTGTGGGAATAGTTTGGAAATTGCTCCTTCCTTTTAAAAATGACAAAGCAAGGTTCATAGAGACGTGGATGAGAGTTTGGTGTGGATGACCGTGACTGGCCTGCTGTCCTGACCTCAACCCAACAGAACACTTCTGAGATGAATCAGAGTGGAGACTGGGAACCAGGCCTTCTCAGTCAACGCTCACAAATGCACTTGTGGAAAAAGCATAGAACCCTATGGATTCAGGATGGGATGGCACTTAAGCTCCTATGTGAGTGAAGGCAGTCGTGTGATAGTGGGCACAAACGCTGCCACTTTCCAGCACAACACCGGGGTCAGATATCCAAACACAGTGGTCCCAGCTGAACAGAAGCTGGGAAACATACATCCCCTAATCCCAGTGCTCTGTGATGTTCAGCCAAGTTTCTGCTCATCTGTGTCACCACATCACTCATGATAACATTTACAATCAGAACATTTCAAAACACCCTGAATTAGAAAGACACCCTATGTGGGTTGTGGTATTCAATTCCAAATGTATGGACTTCATTTATTAAAGGCAACTGAAACATTAGCAGAGAAGGAAATAACAGCTACTATTTATATTAATACTTTCTATTATAACAATCTTGAAGAACTGGGATTTTAGATTGATGCTGAAATGGAATGTACTCTTCTATATACGGGAGAATAGTAGGCATCCCTCCAGCAGGAAAATAAAACCTTGAATGTCACACCCTGTGTCAGCACAACAGGGAAGAAGTATAGTAAAATTACACCACACACTTCAAAGCTGAAATGGCAACATCCACCAGCGATTTTCAGGGAAGACAGAGGGAGCGCCGAAAAATGAAGGAGCTTGGACATGAGAAGGAAAAATCAAGAAATGAACTTTGTCACAAGGGTGTAAAAAAAAAACTGAGCAAGCACAAGATGACATTTCAGATAAGACGGGACAATAAACAGCCGAATGAGGTCATTCCAGCGCAGTATCAAGGCCGTACTTGGTTGAGTGATTACTGAGCTCATAAGCTCTGGTTCACCCAGTGTTTCTTGTGAGGGCCACTTGAAAACAAGATGCCACGCCGACCAGCTTTAACCAGTGTGGTGTAGCATCCAGTCATCATTTTCAAAATGCGTCTTACATAAGAGGGTGTCCTAATTCAACACCAAAACAACGGTTTATTTTGGTTCCTGTTCCACCCCGTGTACGTCAAACCACATGTGTCACTGATTCAGGTGACGCATAACTGGGTGTGCACAGATTTAATGTAAGCCCTGAGGAAAGGGTTCGATTATTAGCAGCACAATGTGAGGATGATTCCAGGTTAGCTGTCATCATAGAGCTGTCAGTGACTGAACTGGCTTCACTCTACCTCAAAGTCACAGACTAATGCTTCGGTTTGGGCCAACCAAGAAAAACAAGACAGATAATGTTTTCCATACCAGAAACTGATAGGAGAAAGTTAGTGGAGAGACTCCATTAACGTTTCACTGTGGAACATGTTCTCTTTAGCACAGACTTACAGAAAGTATGTTCCTGTGCACTGACTATTTGTTTTCGTTTTAAAATCTACATTTACTGCACAATAGTTGTCTTTTACAAACAAATATATAGATATTAATCTGTGGATTGTACATCTCAGAGAGTTATCTTACTTTATTTATACCCTCAAGCAAACTCATCTGGGCCTTGGTGCTCGTGCTTGTTGTAAGAAAAAAAGTTCCCAATAAAGCTGCTTTAATTGAAATATTTCTGGCTATGTTGTTGGTTGTGCCCTCGTGACTACAATCCTTGTTTTACAATTACAGCGCCCTCTGATAAAATCATCATACAGCTTAAGGAGTGTGTGCTGTCAATTCCCCTCGTCATACATGGACGGTCATTTCCAAAAGATAAAGTTTGAAGCTGAAAAATGGTGGCAGATGGTTGAATATGGATGAATAAACAAGAACAAAACGGGTCCTCTTCAACATTGGTGACCTACAAAAATGTTTTTAAAAAATGCTGGTGTTAGAAATGGTTTACGGTCTGCTCAGCGTCTGAAACTATCAAAGTTTTGCTGATGTTTTGGAGGAAAACAGAGTCAAACATTTCCCTCAACAGGACATGGAATGAGAGAGAGTAACCCCAGCTCGTAATGATGTAGGAAAATAAATGTAAATGAAGCCAGTGGGTGGAGGTTTGTTTGTTTACAGACAGGCACCTAGGAATTTCAAGATTTATTTATGCTTAGGGGTTTTTCTAGAAAGGTTTACATAAAATATAATTTTTCTTATTCTAATGCTTTTTCTTTCAGTCAGAATTCCAATGAACCTCACACATAAAACAAGTTTTACTACAAAGTAAGAAGTTCAGGTTGGTAATATTAGAGCTGAATCTGACACCAGCCGGATCAGTGTATCTGTGGTGACTCACTCTGTCTTTTTGCGAGACTTGTTGTCATGAAGATCCAGTAAGTTGATCACCGCTTGGCCCAGGAACTTGTCGAGCCCCACCTGGGCACGGTGCATCACGATGATGTACAGCGTACAGCGCTCAGCATTCCCGGGGTGGAAGAGCGGCAGGTCGAAGGAAGCCTCTTCCTTCCAAACGGGAGCGACACATTTCTCTGCCACGGAGGTGGAAAACTTGTCTTTGGCCACCTGGATGATGGCATACGAGTCGTTGGTGCCATTCTTGCCCTTGACTCGCAGGTTCCGAGCTTGGTGCACCGTTACCTGGACACTCGTAGGAAACCACTGTTGGCTTTGGTCAATAAGAGACATTGCAAAAGTCCGATTAAATTAGCCAAAAGTTTCCCCGGAGAGAGGTTCTAAAACGTAAAGCTTCTCCCCGCCGTGTTTCTCGGCTTTGGGGCAGTTGACTTCAGTTCAGGAAGCTCAGCTGGATGTCGTAATGTTTTACGGTCCTCTTCCAAAGGTATCCCAACGTTTCTAATAGTCTTGGTTACTTAGCTCGGGTATCCAACGCAGACCTATTGTTAGCTAAAGTCAACAAAACAGGTCATCGCTGCGGTGTGACCACTTTTAAGAGGCTTTAATATGCACAACTCCTTCGTAATGCCTCCGCCACCAAGTTTCACAGTTCACTTCCCTGATGTCATGAGTCCCCACCCATACTCTACACCTAGTGTGTTGATAGGCTGATATTCTTGTCAGTTGTTTAAAAAGCTACCCCTGATTGGGCAATGCGAGAGGAGGTGTTGAAAGTTGCGGACCGTTAATCTGCATTAGCAACCACTGATCAGAGGTCAGCAACTGCTGTTAAAGGCAAAGGAGAACGAATAGGGATAGAAAACATTACTGAACTGAGTCCAGTGAACCAGAAGAGCAGCGACAATAAAGAACAATTTTTAGATTCTTCTCTTAGAAACAAAGCCAATTGTCTTTCTTTAAGATAATACAACGGTTACGCTATATATAAAAAGAGAAAATTATTAACATGAAATATATTCCCTTGTAAATATCTAATAGTCGATCATTTTGCTCCATATCCATGTCATAACATTTTGTACAACCTTCCAGGCAATATCTCTTTAATAACTGGTGATATTTCTGCAAATTATTAAACATTTTTCTCTATGTGATATTAACAGGCTTCTGTGGGCATGTGTAAAAGAATGTATGCTCTAAGAGCATATTTCTCAGTATTAGATAAATATTTTCAATTGATTAAATATAGGCGTTACATTTTTAGAATAGAGTGACAGTGCCTTAATTCTTTGTCAAATCTCCAACAAACTGGACAAAAATCATCCATGTATCCATTTTCTATGCGGCAGGGTTCTGGAACATATACCGGTCATTGGGCAAACTGTCATTGGGCCGAAGTCTGGATAAACTTTGGACAGGTCTAGACAAAAATCTGTGAACATGAATGTTGATTAATTTATTTAAAGTTCCCTTTTTATTTTGAATCAACATAATTTCTCTTGAATACGCCTTTTGAAAATAATAGACAAATGACAGTTAAATGGCAAGGACACAAAGTTAAGATCAAACCTCAGGGCATATTGCAAAATCAAATTTGAATCATGAGCAAAGCCAGCCGATTGTGGAATTATATTTGCAGCCGTGAGTCAAAGTCACACCGTGGTTGGACTTGTTATAATTTTACCCAGAAAATATAAACACTATACACTGCGAGCTGAGCATACTGAAACCCAAGTCTAATAATATGCAGAATCTGGTCTTATAGAACAATGGAAAAACCTTACATGGTACTTCCCGCTTAGGTAATTTCCAAAGAAGCAAGTGTATTAGACAGATAAAAACAGAAGTACACCACATCTTTGGTAAGCAGGCTCGGACTGTTTTGACCAAGCTCCTCATGTATGGCAACTGTTTGAAATATAGATATTCAAACATTTTTCTAACACTACACCAATATCACAGTTTTTGAGCTCATTCAGTTTCATTTCCATCCTTTAAGGAAATGCTTTTTTTTCATCCTTGAATATGACAGAACTGATTATCTCCTCTCCAGGAAGGGGCTGTCATTACAATGTCTTCTGTTAAAGGTGATCACTGTCTCTAATAATAAGAAACCAACTATTTAACCCCCTCCCCCATTTGTTTTGTGCTATTCTCTCTTAGTTCATCATATAAGGGACACCCTATCAGTGCTGTTAACAGTACACAGAAATAAAAGTGACATATTTTACGTTCAAAAGTATCACATAGGTCTTTAATTCACTCTTGAGATTCTGTACAGCCACACACATGCAGGTCCTCTCATTGTTCATGTTCACACACTCACACACACATATACACTAACAGACTGACAGCAAACAAGTGCATACAGAAGCACATACATACAATCACTTGAAGCAAACGTAAGGGTGTAAAGTTGCCCTCAGGTTAAATGCATATAGTTGTACTTTAGAAATGGATAATTTTGGAATCCATTTCATGCATAGAAAAATTACAACTAAAACAATAAAGCTTTCATTTAACATCAGAAGTCCACATCATATGCCAACTTCAGAAATATCTTGTACATTTTTTGCAAAGTGAATAAAATAAATGCGTATCTTATGCTTCGAAACGACCATTAAAAAAAAAAACGCCTTCTCATTTCACAGCAAACTCTTACAATGCTACAGAGGCAAAAGTACCAGTTTAGGGTCCAGAATGCCTTCATGATATTATATCTTAATTAAATTACATAATTATTAAGAGACCATTAAACATAACCCAATCTTTTCATTAAGGTCATGCATAGCTGTTCATCGGTGAATAAACTTTACACTGTGGTTTCACTTTTCCATAAACCACTTTTCATTCCCACAGAACTCTGGGACTGATCTGTGCCGCTCATGTCCTGCTCAAGCTCTAGCACTGAAGATTTGAGGGTGCCGTTTGGGACAGCAGCCCCAGGCACAGTGGTGGTGACACTGTTCAAAGGGTAGGAGCAGCGCTTTGTTTCTCGCTCTGAAGAGGCCGCCACTTTCAAATTGTCTCTGCTGGAGCATCGTCTCTGAGCACCATGCATGGCCACTCTGCTGGCCACCGAGGGTGGCAGAGGGAAGGGTTTGCGGCTCCCGCTGCTCCCCCCGTCACTTCCCTCTGAGGGGCTGGTGGCTACTGACTCTCCTACCCGCTTCCCATTTGTCAGCAGGCTGGCCTGATTCTCTGAGAGACTGTGGTGGATACTGCCATTTTCACTTGTGGCTTGTTTGTAAACACCGTGTGGCAAATTGAGGTGCTCTAAACCTGGGGGCCCCAATGCTCCAAGACTGCCCCCGCCCCCGGTGGCCCTTAGAGCCTTGAGCCGATAATGGCCTCTGCCCTCACTACGGTGATAATACTGACTACTCCCTTGTTTAGTTCTGCCACTCATTTTTCTTCGCTGGGGGTGTACGGGGGCTGCAGAGTTAATAGTTGGCAGAACGTTGTTCACGGGCTTGGTTATATTGTCAGTACTGGTGCTTGTGTTGTTGCCTGTAGGGGCCCGGGAAGTGTTGTTTGAATTGTCATGTGCCACTTGCAACAGGTTGGTGAGTTTGCAAGGCCCGGGGCCAACGCTGCTGATGCCGCTCGGTGTGGAAGATGACCGGGCAGAGGAGGAATTATGAGAGTCATGGGGAGGATGGCAGTTGATGAAAAGCTGGGATCCCTGCTCAGATGCCTGCACTCCAGTCCCAGTTGTGCAAGTGTGCGTGTAGGTAGACATGGGATGGGAGCGACGATAGCCCGGGCAACAAGACAGCCATGACGCCTGCACATCCACTCGTCGGAAGCAGTGGTGCGTCACCAGGAAGACCCCCAAAACTGTGGCAACCATTCCATAGAGGCAGCTGAACAGCAGGCTGATGTGGCCTGTCAGCCACATTGCCATCGCCCCACAACACCAAAGAGCCACAAACAGGAAGTGGGTGGCTACCAACACAAAGAACTGTGTCTTCAGCGAGTACTGATCCTCTGGAGGGGCGGCTGAGGTTATAGGTCCCACCACTGAATCAGTGGAGAGCAGGCTGGTGCTTCCCGTCAGCGCAGGATGGCTCTCAGTCCCTGGAGAGGACAGGGTGTTTCCTGTGCATTCTTTGGTCACACGGTGCTTCAGGCGAAATACAGTGCACAGGAAATAAATCCAGGTCACCAACACTGCTAGGCCAGCCGGAACAAAGAAAGAGCCCAGGCTGGAGCGCCAAACCAGCCAGCAGCTGCAAGGAGCAGAAAAGATGGAAGGTCAATTCAAGCACAACCATGCCTTTGTGTGGACAACATAGACCCGTTCACTTCAGCACCAAACAAAACGCCACCAAAGTCAAAGGCCGAAAGGGTCAAAGACAAGAACTTACTATGGGCTGTTGTCTCCATAGTTGTTGACATTGACAGCTGCTGTGATTCCACAAATGACAAGAGGAACTCCATCAGCTATTAAATAGAACCTGGAATGACAGAGGTGAGGAAATCAAACACAACGTTTGCAGTTTTTGGACAAAAAAGCGTTTTTTGTCTGTGCCGCAGCGTGGTATTTGGCTGCATCATGGGCTTTTACTGCCATTTTCTTTTTCAAATTGTCTCTGGTTAAAAATCTGAGAAAAACTATGTGATCCAAAACTCTATATTTCAGTGTTAAAAGGGTCAATATAGACTCCACAAGTCAATGATTTATCACAGCCTGACCCCTTGTGGCTGTGTGGGCAATAAAAGACTGGATACAGAATCATTGAGGTCAGGGGCACAGCCTGGTTCTAAAACCATCATGACAGGAAAGTGCGATGGGAACGCCAGCCAGCCGGAAAAAGACAGTGCACCCCTTTGAGTCATCCTACTCTGATTTACGACAATTCCGATGGTATCCTTTATATGGGATCACATATTCTTTTCTTTAACAGTCCAAAATGAATCTGGCATTACGCCTTTTATTGCCCTGTCAAGGTTCCCTGAATACAGAGACTTCAGTATTTCGACACAATAACTACTTTTTGACGGCACGCAGTTTGGGTGGTCCTGTACAAGAACTCCTGCATCCGTCTAAAACATAAACCGCATTGATAGCAAAGAAGAATCTCATGGTGAGGGAAGTGGGTGAACTGTGGCAAGCTGACCTCAGCATGGGTCGCTGAGTGGGTGGAACAGGAGACTCTCCCTCCGTCTGTCGAGGCATTTTCCACAGAGCTTCTTTGTAAATCACCCTTGCGCTTACTCCAATCCACAGCAGCGTTGACAGTGATGAGAAGTGCAGCGCCATGCCCACCTGTGGTGTGTTGCAGTCACATTAGATGCAAAGCAAACGTGACACACAAAGGTTACCGACTTGGAACGAACAACTTACAGCCTGACAAACCACTGGATAGCTGGTCAAGCTTATCCCTCCTGCATAGATTGCTGTTGTCATGGCAATATGGAAACAGGTATTCAGCAGTGTGTGCCAACTTTTCCTTGATATGTGCATTGAGCTGTAAGAGGACAAAGGACAGTTGTAAAAAGATGCATCAGACAGCCAGTGACAGCGAGATGTTTGTTGCACATATGCACGAGTACCTGTGATGTAGTATGTGTGTAATAATGATAGTGAAGAGGCACAGGAGGAGCACTGCAGTGCAGGCGTAGACCACAGGGTGGAGCACCCTCACAGAGTGTGGGCTGGGGATGGGGAAATCTGGCACTTCCTGGGAAGAAATCATACACAAGTCAAATGAAAGTCTCATTCAATCGTGCTGCTCAGTGAGGGAAACTCAAAAAGTTCTCTTGCCTGCAGCACAGCGTAATTACTGAGCAGAGAACAGCGCATTGTGGAGATGCTACTGTCACTGTGGACAAGCTGACAGCCCTCCTGGCTCCAGCCTCCCTGCCAGTCTGGACCCCCAAGGCTCCACTGGGCCGCCACTGCCTCAGTTCCAGGAGACAAGTGGCGCAAGGATACCCAGATAGGCTCAGAGAGGTTGTACATGCTGCAGCCGTCTGTTACAGAAATATAGGAGTTTATGACACTGCACTTAAATTCATAAATGTGAATTGAAATGACAATTTTGACACACACTTTGTTTATATTTACAATATTTACAATGTATTTTTTATAGTCTAATACAGGATGAATGATGTGTACTTTATATTCTTTCTTTTCGCTCATTGATGTGAAGCAAAACATAGTTCAAGAATTTATCACATCACCTCTATGACAGGAGCTTTTTCCTTTTTTAGGAACGTTGTATGCAGTGTGCATTTATTATTTTACATCTGAGTTGTTTTCTTGGTTACAATGAGCTTTTTTTAGGCTGATTTGAGATGTGTTAATCTGTGTGTTTAGTGAACTGGCCCTCAGTGTCCAACAGCAGAGATGTCTGATTATTTTACCGTTCTAAGCCCTTGTTTTACTCAATTTGTGTCTGTTTTAATAATTTATGTTACATCTATGGTGGTCATTGGTTTGTTATATGAACCAGACACATCTATTTTCTATAAATCAAGATGTATTTGTAAATTCTCTTTAAACTGCAGTGAATGGTGAGTTGTTTCCCTTACCGAGGCCTGCAAAGATCACAGGGGTGTTGACACTTCTTCTTCGGGAGTGTTCAACAGAACTGCTTGAGTTTGCGGACAGAGGAAAAAAACTGCCAGTTCGGAAAGCTACAAACTGTAATTTACAGTCTACAGCAGCATCAGGAGGAAACAGAGTTGCTGGAAGGGTCACAGAGGCCAGAGCTACAGAATTCTGGAGAGAACAAAACATGCAAACACAGTATTATATTCTCAATTCCGCAATAAACCTTAAAAGCAGGCAGTATAGACAAAAGTGGTTGCTAGTGTCATCGTGTGTAGTTATAGTGGAAAAGGGAGATGCGGGAACACGTGCTAACTCCTTGCCTTCAGGGGGAAGTTGTTGAGTGAAGTGTTGTGTGAGCCGGTGCTACAGCGGAAATGAAGCTGTTGTTCATGAGCAGACTCTGACGTCTCCACGCCCGGCCGGCTCAGTGACGTGTCCCGATGCTGATACGCAGTGCAGGTGATACCAGTGAAGTGGGCAGGTCGAATCAGGTGGGCCTCCATCACAATGTTCTTTGAAACCTGCACACACACAAAAAACTGTCACTGCTTGTAAAGTACTTTCAAAATTTACAGACATTCCATGAATTTACCTTATTACATAGGCTAATTCATAATCATCGTGTTCTAATGAGATAAATGAAAAAATAAGATTCATCCCCCACCATAGAGAAGTCTTGAGCATGACTGTGTAACTGAGGCCAAGCCAGGGTCTCTAGGGAGTGGATAATGGAGCTACAGGCTCTCTTTTCCCTTTGGGCAAGTGCAAGGATCTGGTCGTCCACCTGCATCAGGTTACTGCCCATCTCAACCATCATCTCGGACAACTGGAATTAACACACATATATAAATGGATAATCTGGCAAACCATAAACAAGAGAAAACATGACAGGGATTCATTTGAATGGCTGTTCTGTTACAAAATGCCATTTGTCCCACCTCTCGCAGATGTCTGACATATTCCATGAACTTCTCCATAATCTGAGCCACATACAGCACATCTACCGAGTCGGTGAAACCTGCAGCCTCCAGAGTGTAGGTCCGGACTTGGTGTGCCACAGTGAGAGCATTGGATGCATTAATGGGCCTCTGAAATGAAAAAGAAAAAAAACTCTATCAGGACAGAGTTTCATGACTGCCTCCATTAGTATTGAAGGCTGGCACCTGCTACCAGACTGACCAGGATAAAGGTGTGCAGGACACGGGTTATGCCGTTGGTGTAGTGGCAGTTTGAGTAGTCACCCTCTTGCCAGTTTCCAGAGCGATCACAATATCGAGATGCTTTTTTCTGCTCAATCCCCCCCTCCACAGACAGGGAGGGGAAGCGGAGCTGTAAGCAGTACTGATGAGAGGTTATGCCTGCCAGAGTTCTTGGCCATCTGTGGAATAAAAACCAAAGATTAACAGGAACAATAATACTTATATTTACAGAAAATGAAGTGTTTGGTATACTATATGATGATGAATTGTTGTAACTACAACTAACCTGAACTCCCCACGGTTGTTAACAACTTTATCTTCCGGACAGAAGGAGGCACTGTTCTCCAGAACCACTATTTCAACAGAGCGAGAGGTATTGCCCCGCCCAGTAGTAACCACACACTCCCACTCTCCACTGGCTTCCACATGGACGTTGAATAAAATAAGCTCACTGCATAAACGACAATCAACAGTTCATTACAACACAATACCAACACATATCTAAATGGTCTTCTTCAAATTATCCCATGAATTAACTCATGTACAAAAACGGACAGCATTTGACGGATAGTCATTATTGTGGTTAAAACAAGCATGAAAAGAGGCTGCATGACTCTACTAACTGCACCTGGTGATGAAGGTGCAGTCATGCAGCAGACTGTTCTCCAACTGGACACCCATGCCTGGGTCAGAGGTCACCATCTGACCATTGTGACGCCAGTATATGGCTGTGACCTTGTCCACCAAAGCTGCGGTGCAGTGGAAGGGGAGCGGGTCGCCTCTGAAAACCACCTGACGCTGGGATGGCAGTAGCGACAGAGTATGCAGCTCCAGGGGACCATCTGAGAAATGTGAAGGGAGAAGCTGAGGATGTGGCTGTACAATATTATTCTGAAGTGTTTGCGCTGATCTCAATATGCAACTTCAGGCAAACGTTTCCATGGAAGTTATCGTGAGGGCATTTTTTGCAGCAGATTGAATGCAGACTGCTGCCATTCTTATATGTTGGTTTGGCTTTCGAACATAAACTTTTACAAATACAGTCTGGAACTCTCGAAAATTGCTGAGATGATCTTGAGCTTCATCATGTGTCAGTTTCCTCCTTGTGGCAATGATCTCTGAAATAAGTGTCAAATTGTGATTCACTGCCTCTCACCACAGCTGAGCTGGCTTTCCCTCAGCCCGCGGAGGGGCTTTCCCCTCAGGCTCCTGGGGTGGGCACACAGAGTTTCTTCTCCCAAACGAATTGAGCTGCTCCGAAAGAAACCTGGGACCCAACGCAGTCCACAGTCACATGACAGGTAGTCCGAATTGAAGTTTCTGACGGGAGAAATCACAGATAATTCGACTTTGACTCTGCTGCTCGTTGCAGCATCATACCTGTACATGACTAACATTTCAGGGCTATATTTAGATTTGACATACTACAGTACTGGTTTACTGGTTTCTGCAGTACTCACACCAGCTTTAGAGACGACAGCTCCTCCAACACCCCTGGATCAAAAGTTGATATGATGTTGCCAGACAAATTCCTTACAGATCACAAATTGGACACGCATAAGTTCTCTCAACAGCTTTAGAACAAGTGATAGATTACTGTTTTATGGAACCACTCAATCCGTCTCTTACAGTTTAGTTAGATTGGTCAGCCCCTGGAACATGTCTGCTGTCAGGCAGCCAATGCGGTTGTTGGATAGGTCACTAAAAGTGTTAAAAAAAAAGGAATGTGTTACAGTTTTCAAATAAGAATTCATGCAAACTCAGATTTTCATGTCTTGATTCACTCGCAGTCCAAATTGTTTTTTTACTGACATCAGATCAGACAGATATTACATATACATATATATATATATGGAATGCCAAATTGGTGAACCTAGTCTATCAAGACTTTTAGCATTTTATTCTAAAAACGTATTTTCCAAGATGTTGAAAATAAAAAATAAAAAAGTGTGCACAAACCCAGACACTTCCCCTTATTAGAACCCCATAGGACCTGAGTAAAGGTCTATCATCAGAGGGGTAAAAGCAGGGCCCCTGTTCTGCCGTCCACCCCTGAGTGTGATGTATAGCTGCAACCAGAGAGGGATCTGCTCTGCTGCACCTCTGACACTACCCAGCAGAGAGCTGTCCAGAGCATGTGTTTATCTCCCCCTGTTTGTTTTGAGAAGCCCCAGACCTTGCAGGGAAAATACAAGAAGGGGGAGGAGGAATGGGGAGTCACGCAGAGGGACGCAGGCAAACACTTTCGACCCACGCCACAACCAAACCTCAGTGTCCAGAAACACAAGGACTGAGCGACGAGCGGCTGCAAATGGACACTTTGTCAAGTCCAGTGATGTGTGAGCATCTTTGCAAAGCTGTGATGGTTTTCACAGCAGGGCCTCCGCAAACGTTAAGAAGGAAGCTCATTGTCTTTTATATATAATACACACATATACTGTATGTGTGTGTGGGGGTTTGACTCAGCCTAGAAAGTACCAAACTAGAAAGTACTATCTCATATTAGGTGCTTGATGCTGCTCTGAACCTAACAGGAATGTGGATAAGGCTAATATGTACTTACAGTTTCCGAAGCTCAGACAGGCCATGGAAGGCTCCGGGCATAATGGTGCTGATTAGGTTGTACTTGAGGTCCCTGGATACAGAGAGCAGAGATAATAATCAGTAAGAACATGCAGGTTCATTGTATTAAAAACAGTAAAGCCTTTTAAAAACTGAATCACCTAAATTAAAATAATGGGAGTGGGGACATATTTCATCTGATTTTCCAGCTCACACAGTAGGACGCTTCAAAATACAGATCTCATCCCATCAAGTGCCTGGATTTAGGATGAGCAGTCTCATTCTTAATAAAATAAGAATTTGAACTCTGTCTTTTTTTTGGTTTTGTTTCTAAAAGCAATGAAAACAATAAACCTGAACACTTCTCACCATAAATATTTATTTCTTAGAAGATCTAATTTCATTCCTATGTCCACCCTTCTCCCATTCCAAACCCACACCCATGTGTTAAACTACTCAGCCAGATGCCCCTTCTCCATCAGCTAACCGGCACTACATTTTAGATCCAAGCTTTTAGTTTTATCAGTCAGGTGGGAATAGTAGGTTAAATCAGGTCAGAAGATGGATTGCTATCAAAGGACATGTGATCCATGCTCATGCAGCATGAAAAAGGTCTGTTTCCGCAGTACCTGTCACAGAAGAAGGAGTTACAAGCATCTTGCAATGGCTCCATTTTAGTCTATTTCTCGTTTAACCACTATGCCTCTGCGGTATGGACTCCCTCAGGGGACTTTTTTCTCCTTTTTCCCACAAAGATAGTCTGTCATCACTGTTTCGACCACACGGCCTCACGCTGTGCACAACCTCAGTCATCTCTAGACCATTGTTTTGTCCACTTTCCAGCAGATGAGCTTTTTTTGCCTCAACTAGTGCAGGGAAATTATCCTCGAAAATGGCTTCCAGGAGAAATTACAACATGTGGTATAGTTGGGATATAGTCAAAAGACCAGAGGTTTTGTGTTGGTCCAAGCTATTTCGAAGCCATTGCTCACATCTGGATTAAAGGCAGCATACAGCGCATAAAGATAGGCCAAATCTTTCTGGCCTCAGACCAAAAAGATGAAGTCTACTTTTTTTTGTCTTCAAGCATCTTCTTAGAAAGTTTAGACTTGCTTTCTGAGCGTATGCCAGCTTTTACTAGACAAGATGTTTTGCAACACTTGCACGGCTACAGAAAACTAAATCAACTTCATACAGATGAGTAATAAAATGAAACAAAATGAGATAAAACTGAATGTTTGATTAAGGCTAACTTCACTCCCCAGTACATGTGTGGGCCTGTAGATCTGTTACCATGTATGCAGTCATGGCTATGTGCCTGTTTCCACCCATTTACATGTGTCCGTGTATATCAGTAGCTTTATAGAATTTGTTGACCAGGGCAGGGGGAGAACAATACTGCTGTTTCCAGTCTGTGTGTCGCGGGGCTCATTAGTGCGGTGTTGAAAGACGAGGCGCTGCCCACCATTTCCTCCCTCTAAGGTCCGTCTCTTCCCTCCCTGTCTGGCCTTTTCATAGACATACACAAGCATGCTTTGTAACACTGACCTCTGCGAGTATATTTTCAATCCCACATTCAGAAATTTATTGGAAGGAATAAAATAACAAATTACTAGGTGGGGATCCTATTGTCACTTTTGTTTAAACTTTTGGTTGTCTCAGAAAGTAAAGATTAAATAGTTCCTTTCATTACATCTGTGTTCCTATGAGAGATAAACGCTACTCCCATGATAGCTAAATAATATGTGGAGTTTCTATTATTTGTTGCATTTAAAAAAAAAAAACGGGTTTCATCATCCAGATGACAAAACTATTGCTTATTCTACTGGTATAAATTTTTATTAATTGTACTTCAAAACTTTTTTTTACTTTACTCTAAAAATAAATTATAAAGTTATAAGTCACTTAGTTTTTTTCCTGCTGCTGAACAATATGCTTTTCATCTAAGCTTTAAAAGTTTTTTGTTTGAATATTTGCAGATTTTTTAATTCATTCTCATTTCTTGGGAGTGTATTTCTTATTTGTTAAGCCACTTGAAAGTAACCCCTTGAGCCATTGACACATAACAAAGACATCTAACCCAAACAAGCAACTGCAATTATACTTAAACTTTACAGCAAACTTTGGAAAGAGCAAAACGAATGCATCAACCAAAGACCTCTCACACGACCCAAGCAAACCATTGGGACCCCGAGTTAAAACGACAACTGTTTGATTGAGCTCCATAGAAACAGGAAAGCCATTCTTAAGGAAAGATAACAAAGAGAAAACACTGACCTTTGCCAAAAGACACAAGACATGGACTGAAAATCAGTGGCAATAGGTGTTGTGGAGGGAGTTTATACATTTCAAGCCCTATTGGATGTTCTGTAAAATAAATGTTCTTGACATAAGTAAGGTCTTTCCTGAAAAAGTACCAGAACCTGTAAATATTGTTCAATAACAGACTTCACAGATATGCAAAGTGCCTGTCCATTTGGACTAAAGCACCCACAGTATGTGACATCCATGATTCCCAAAAATAGTTTCAGGTTTTGATTGAACATACCACTGGACATTTTTTCCATTTATAGACAAGTAGAATTATACATACAGACTTCTTCCAAAATCACAACCTGCATCATGCCAAACACAAACACACAAAGAAAACACGCACTCTCACAAAGGTTCCCGTTAAGCTGTATAATTCACTCATAACGGTGTTAAAGTTAGAAATTCGTATAAGTAAATCACCTGGGAACCATCATTTGATCATTGTGGTTCAAATGTTCAATGATAAACTCATTTTGCTCTTCAAAAATATCTGCATATGTGACTTTAAAAGGGCAGCATTTGGTATGATTTGGTCTGAGGAGTCGGCTTCCTCTGATTCACTCTTATCACCAACCTGGGGAATGTGAAGGAGGTTGGCAGACGGTAGAACTTTAGTGCTATAAAATGCTTCACCTAACTGTGGCCCAAATGTTGCTACTTGATCACAACTGCAATCAAAGCTAGAACTTATCTATTTCCCCGGCAATTTACCCGCACACCTCTGATTTGTTTCTAGCACTATTAAAAACAATTGGGAAGGGCAGCCCCAGAAAGCCTCACTTCACACTCAGACGATGACTTGCCTCTGTGCCCTACAGAGCAGCGAGTGCCCTCTCTGACAACGGCTTCACAGCTCAGTGGCCTCGACATCGATAACAACAGCTGTCACCAAGCAGGAAGATAACAGTAGCAACAAGAAATACTTCAAAACCTTGTTTCATAAGGATGAAAATACTATTAACGCTCTATATTTTCCATCATCCTCCTCCGGAGAAGATTGCACCTCTTAAAAAGAGACAATACTTCTGGAAACAAATTATCATAATGGCCATGGCCTTACTCTCTTTCTATTGAGTTACTCTCAGTAACCTTGTGAGACTAGTGCTTCATTCCTTTCACCACATGTGGCCTGTATGATTGGACTGTGACAGACTCAAGCTACCAAAAAGGAACTATTGTCTGTGGCCACTATGTCTAACACCAGAGGCTGCCATTAAGAATATTCTTTTTTCCCCATAAACTCTGCCTAATAGATGGGGCTGGTCCTCTGCCATTCTTAAGAGTCATCGCTCTACGAGTATAAGGGATGAGCACCTGGGCCCCATGCAGACTGGAGAGTAGCAATGTGCTTAAAGGGCAGCGAGAGGCTAATAATGAAGACATGGTCTGCAAAGCGCTCCAGACATGGAGTGCTCCATTATCAGGAGCACAGCAGCAGGGACTAGAGTGGTGACATTGTTGAGGCCTTGGGCTTGAAGGGAGTCGGGAAAATGACTAAAGCCAGGCAAAGGCTGCTCATTATCACCAGACTGGAATCAAGAATTTCCTGTAGCTGGGAAAATTTAGAGGAAAGACACAGCATTAAAAGGGCTGACTTCTATACTTTAATTGGATTTTTTGTCTTGATGCAGACCTATGTTAGAGACAGCCTTAAGACAAACAAATATGTTGTTGGATTAAAGGTATGTTGGGGGGGAAAAGTACATGGAATTAACTGGCACCTTTTTTCCTGACAAGAAGTCACTGGAGACCATTTTTGTGCCTCATGTCATTTCCTGTCTGGTTGGCGTCTCTACCAGAGGCTCTTGCTCGTTTATTTTTACAGTTTCCTTTTACTCCCTATTTTCCTTTTTTTCTTTCTTTTTTTTTTACAAGCTAGCTTTCCCCCGTTGGGAGGGGCAGGTGAGTTGAAGGATTGTGAACTAAGCAAAATTACTCCTATGTACGGTCCTGCAGACCTCACCTCTCTACTCAACAACACCCTCGCTCACAATGGGAGCTCTGTAATGCAGGCCCCAAACCTACTCTTTCCCCAAAACAGGAAACCAGGATTTGCAGAGCTCTTGTTTTTCTACTAATTTCCTGCTTTGCTGCCCCTTCCCCAGATTATTTTCTTTATTTTTTTCTGGTTCCTCTAAGAGTGGCGACACCTGATCGACTTTTGTCGGCATTCATTAATGTTTTGGTGTAGCTTGAGAATGGATTTAGGCATAGAATACATTTCCACAATCTTTGTAAAGTTTTGCTGTCTGTTGGAACTCAGGTTATGTAAAGCAGACCAACCCCATCTGATCATTAACAAATATGTCCTCACATCTGCTCACGACTGAAAAGTACATCAACTGTGGGCCCAACGGTATGAACGTTAGCAGGATGCACAGAAATAGTAACATATGTTTATTTGAAGTATAAAATTTCTTGAGTATAAACTTTGATTGCATGTTTCTGTCATCTGCAGCTAGAAAAGGGGAGGTCATTCTGCCAAGGAAAACTCTGGAACTACCATTGACTTAATCTCTGTTGTTTTTTCTGAGCCACTGGATGTGTGGCCGCACAAATGAAAGTCCAGCTATAGATTGAATTCTGAAAAATGAGCATTTATTATTTTGTCAAATGGGTCAAAATTCATCCTAGTTAGGAGTATCAGTCTTTCAGAACAGCTTTATAGTGATCATGATACAAGAAGTTAAACTACATTAAAAGTTTGAAGTGGAGTAAAAAAAAAACGGTCTACATTAGGTGCTGAAACTGTCAAAAAAGTTATCACAGGAAAGATATTTTCAGCCAGTAGGCGGACATGTAAAAAAATGAGAGGAACAATGAAAGTCCCAGTTAGCTGGGAGTAGGAAGATGTAAAAAGAAAGCAGAGAAGGAGCATTAACGGAAGTGGGGGGAAGTCAGTCCAGCACAAGTTCCTCCAGAGGAAAATACCATTGAAACCATATCAAGTTTGCCCAAAGTGTGTGAGAGAGAGTTATTGGCAGATAAAGCGTACAATTTGGTAATGGGCTTATGAGGGGGCTTGCTCGCTGTTTCAATAAACCCCCAGAGCCACGACTGAGCTAGGCTTGCAAGACAAACACACCCCGCTCCTTCAGTTTATCTGAAAGACACATCTGGAGTCTATCAACTCCAGCAGCACCCCCTTTCTGTTTCCACTCTTCAGCAAGCTTAACCCCTTCCTCACCCACTCCACCCCTTAATGTCACGCACTCTCATTAGGTGACTGTTGCCTAACTTGAAGCCACTCAGTGGCGTGTGTGAAAACACAAACACAAATTTTCTTCTCTCTGGCAGAGACCCGACCCCATGGACATAATCGGAACCTAGTCTTATGCAGACGGGTCTAGACAAAGGGGCTCCTTAGCATTTCCACAAATTTTTACATGCTATTCTGCTGCCCTCTGTTACGTCTCAGTTCACAAAGGTGATTTTCTTAGCCTGCATGGAAATCGTGTTTATCTTTGCTGATGGAAAACAGGCTAAGATTTCTACAAGACAAATGCAGGAGTGTGCTTTCCTTCTTTCAAACCCTCTCCCCCTTCTTCCTTTTCTTCCCCTCACTTTTCAGCCACCACCATACCATCTTTAGCCATCTCGGCTCCACTTCCCCCAATGTCAGATGGTAAAGTTGTTTAAGTTGGACTTCTTCCTGACCTCGGCCACTCAGACTGGTGGAGGCGATTTCAAGGATGGCTTAAGAGAGACTCCGGCACAGAGGCTGAGGGGCATGTGTCCCCTTTTTTTTTTATAGAGTAGACTCTGTCAAGACAAAAAGTTATGAATTGGTCTAGACATATCAGAATCATGTGCTGAATTTTTTTCTAATCATGTCTGGTCAAAGGTTTAATTACAAAGCTCTAGAATGACGCTGACAACTGCTAACAAGATTCCCCCCCCGCCACATACTCCTCTGCTGTGCTTCAGATGCTGCCGTATCATGCAGATTGGTGCGGCAGAGGTCATTTCAGACGCTCCTGTTGATGAAGCCTATAATACTGCCAACACCTCCGAGCTCCCAACAGTCCCGACCACAGGCCTCACTGCTGCCTCTCAGACCTGTCCACTACAAATGTCCTGCTGCTCCCTCATCCATCATCAGGGCTGCCCTTTGCCCCCCTCCCCCCTCTTCTCCACATTGGGTGAACAGAGCTAGTAATGAGGGCCCCTTGTGCCCTGCCTGCCCGCCTGTCCTGTGTCCCATGGTGCAGTGGGGCCCAGTTGGACTAGAGCCAAACAGCCTCGGCCCTCCTCGCTCATTATTCTCATTACCTTGCCTCAAATCAGTGCGGGACAGGCTGCTGGGATCTGTCCACAACTCATAAAGTTTTTGTCTCGTTAGTGCGGCTGCCAGCGAGAGCTGCTGTCACAAAGGGTGCGCACAAAGGTGGAGGCACTCAAATAAGTATATAAATACAGTTTCAAAGGCCTGATGGTGTGCGACGTATTTTGCACATAGCAGCTACAGCCAAAGAGACAAGGTATGATTCAGCTGGAAAGACTTGAGGTATTCCAAGATCCAAATGTAGCTGTTGGATGGCATGCCTATTTAAAAGAGCTACAAAAACACGTTGGTCCAGCAAAAGAGGCAAAAACAAACAAGGCTAAATTGCTTCTCTGTACTTGGGTGGTTTGGCAAGTTCTGAAGGCTATAGTGGCCATGAGGAGGTTTGTCCCAATGAAAGGGCTAACTGTGTGTGATTGCTGCAGTGTCTGGCCCAGGCCTGAAGGAGGGTGGCCTGCCCTGGAGCTGGATTCTTCCGCTCACAACAGCAGATCAGACTGCGTTCGACTCTGAATAGATGTCCGGCACGAGGCTTTAGAAATGTGTGTGTGTCTGCTGAGAGAGTTACCAGACACCTTTAAAATGACTGGGCAAGAAGAGCGGCTGCCCATACTAGGAAACACTCGCAAGTCACAACAGAGATGAGCCAGGAGTGAGTGCACGTGTGCGCGTGCGTGTGGGCGTGTGTGTGTGCATGTGCGCGAGCAGGGAAGCAGACTTTGTTTATCCTTGTCACGTCGGCACAGAGATGCAGTGTAATTCCCTGATGTGTGTTTACTCAGCCCTAGTGGGCTGGCCTTTGATTACAGAGCTGACCACATAATATGACTAAGTGTTCACTACTGCTGCAAATGACAAGCACATGTAGACGCCATACTGGAAACAATGAGAGGACCTGAAGGGCCATGACGGGCTGAAGAGGAAAAAACAAAACTGAAATCCCTCAGTGTGAGTAGGAAGCTAACAGACAGAAACTGATGTCTTATTTCAGCCCAAACCCTCCATCATTCCATCGCTGCATCGCTCACAACAGACAACAATTTTCCCATGAGCTCAGATGTAATTATGAGCTGTGTGCAGGGCTCAATTAAAGGTTGAAGACGTCAGAATGAGTGAATAGACCTCCACCGCTGCGTGTCAGAGAGCCAGCAGAAGTTGTGGCAGACGACTGAAACGAGGCCTGCATGATTTACGCTGTGTCCTCTTCTTACGCCAGGCGCCTCTTTCTCCGGCCGTGGACCATAAGCAAGTGTGAGCACCATTTTTAATTTGTCGGCCAGCTCTGGGTCTCTCCTCTGGGTCATTTAGTCGGGCTCCACCCTGCCGCCTCTCTCTTTCTCTGGTTTTATCACTGCCCCAGGTACAGCGCCAGTTGGTTTGTAAGCTCGGGTTACCTGACCTGTTAAACCTATCCCACCGTAGGGGGCCTTGTCTGCACTTAGAAAAAAAATCACAAGTAACATCAGCTCACTTTACATCAAACCCACAAAACTGCAGTCCTTCAGTTTTATTATGATTTTGATTCACTGAAGCTGCATAAGCGTTAGGAGCCTGTGTGGCGGGCTCCTGCCAGCACATTTATCTGCGTCCTCAACAGGACGCAGATACTGCTGAGGTGAGAACTGACAACTTGGCCTTGAAACTACTAACTCCTGGTATTCTGATGCCAGACACTAAAATACCCTGCAATCTCAGCAAATTTGGCTCTTGTTCTCATCTGCCACATCTGGTTCTTTGCTCCAGTAGGTGGGCACTAACAAGCTAACAACTCAAGCAAATTAGCATATTTTACTTTCTTTTAACATTTTCGAGAAGCTTGTTCGTTTCATGGGTGGTAGCTCTGAGTGGCATGTGGAAGTAATATTCCACCAGCATGCCCACAACCCTATTCAGGAAAACAAGTGTGTCTGCCAGACTACAGTATCCATTCTGGAGCTGCACCATGTGTGTTGTTCCAATAAAACTTTACAAGGATGCTCTGTGAAACAGCACACCTTTGAAAAAAAAAAAAGAAGGGGTTTCGTGAGAAACACATACGAGATATAAGCTTAGAAGAAGAGAATGCATGGAGCCTGTAGTAGCTTCATGTTTTGTATGATAAAACTTCATGAAATACAAAGACCATTAATCCTGTAGTGTTTGAAGTCAAGTAATCACTGATGTTTACATTTCATGATAATTAATGTCCCAAACACCGTAATAGTTTTTGGAGATTCCTAAAGCGAGGTCTCCATTTAACCTATTTTGGTATCAAAGCTGCATAGGGGCCAAAGTCAAGTCCCACTACTCTTTCCATTTATCACCCGCAGTCTTGTGCATAATGTCATAGTTACTCATGAAGTGATCTCCTCCATCACTCGTTTCACACCCTATTCAGAAAGATTAGCATGCTGTGAGGGAGGGCCAGACAGTCTGAAAGCTACAGGCAAGGCTGCCAGAACGAGCCTCCTGCCAGTGATCTCTCTTATCTTGTCCTACGGATTGGGCTTTGCCCAATAATGAAGCACTGAAGTGTAATTATGAGAATTTTTCAACATAACTCTGTGACAGGCAGTCTGAGTGTATCATCCTCCCTGCTGGAGAGAAGGTGCTGATTGGCCTGATGCACACGCAGCTGCTCAGATCCGCTCAAATCTCGCCGATACACTTTGTGTCTGCTTGGATTAGGCCGGAGGCCAATCAAAAAGCATGTAAGGACAGTGTTTCAAGCTATTCAGAACACAGCACTGGGGTATACCCATATGTGTAAACTTAACAGAAGATAACAAGAAACTGAATACTCACAGCTTCTCCAAAGCGTTGAGTCCAGTAAAGGATCCATTTCTCAGAACTCGGATTTTGTTGTGGCTCAGTATCCTGTAAACAAAACAAAACAAAAACCCAAACAATAGTTTAAAACATTTAATTGTGACAAATCTGACATATAAATAGGACCTATCTTGGACATCAGTTTTATTTCTAAAGGCTCATTGGGGGTTAATGAAACATGAAGCAAAGGACAGGAAAGCAAAGCTAGTGTGAAATGTCCATTTGGTGTTGGAGTCACATGAGAGATAAGCCTGACCAGACGCTTAAACCCAAGATGTTTCCAATAAATGTTAAGGCGGAATAGGAAATCAAGATTAAGAGGGAGGCTGTGATCTTGATAATCATTCAGAATTTTTACATCAAAAGGATGTCTTCCGAGATCAAACAAATGTGGCCCAGGTCTTGTTAATTAGTTCTGTCTTTTTTGGCAAATCATTTGGCTTATGGGGTTTTTATCAGGTCAGACGGCAGCATATGTGGAACACTACAAGTAAAGCTGAGAATGCTTTATCTGAAAGCAAACATAAAATAGCTTTGCTCTGATGGGCCCTCAATTTCCAAAACAAATTTGGGTGATTCATATTAGCTGCATATTTTTTTCATTTTCTCCGTCAAGTGTTACAAAAGAAGACTGATCCCACTGTCATAACAGATTTGTGAACTTTGTCTATCATAGCTGTCCAAACCCATCGTTGGCTCATTTTTGGAAATAAACATAACTCATACAAATGGCAACTTTTAGGCAGACCTGGTAGAAAAGATGCATTGAAAGCCTAATAAGAGTTGCTGTGAAGTTTAGCACGTGTCATTGAAAGACCAGAAAAAAACTCTGAGCCGATATTCCAACAATCAACCAGTAATAAGATCTGTGATAATCTGTAAGACAGACGTCTTACAGATGTATACCACAACTATGTCTGGATCCACAGATCTGCCAGAGCCCTGCCCTAGCGACAGGCCGCCATCATTAACACACCCTTCAGTTTCACATCATCTCTGCTCCTACCAGATGGAGCCTAATGGGCTGTTTGTGACATTAAGTGCGTTCTTAATCGAGAGAGCGAAGCTGTGTGTGCCTTTAAAAGAGGGAGCTGACTGTGAACAGTCTGCGAGATTTACAGATTCAGCAGCAGCAGTCTGCCCCCCTGTTTCCTGCCACATCAATAAAAACACTGCCTTTAGCCCCGCGCCTTCCAGCACAGTTAATGACCACACTTAATCGTCCAATCTTGGTATACGGGCGTAAACCGGCCCAACTTGCCTTTTTTCCTCAGTGGTTTATGGACAGCTACATAAAGACAACATTTTCAAATTGTATCAGTACCCTTTACGTTTAAAAGAGACAGAAATTTCATATTTACAAGTAAATTTAATAATGCTGAGAGTAACTCATGCTATGATGAAACATATTCAACTGGCTGTATGATTACATACAAGTGGCTAAAGTTAATCTCTTTTTTCTTTTTCTTTTGTTACTTAGTTGTGAAAGTACTTGAATGATAACTATCGACACATCTACATATTTTTTCAATTTCAGCTGACGCATAAAAATCTGAGCCCAATCTAAATCAGTGCTTTATTTCCACCTTGAAAGAAATAAAAACATGTCATGTTCACAAATCCACACTGTGCTGTTTCAATAAATCACAGTAAGTCATGGCATTCGAGAGGGCCTGTTAGACGAGAACAGTCCTCTCGTGGCGTAGCCTGAATTTGAACCCATGACTCCTAAGCCTTAAGGTCTCTTGCTCAACATCAGGCACAGAATCTCTCCTATAAATGGATGCAGGCCCCAGATGAAAGCTGCAGAAGATCCGGAACTGCCTGAATAATTCAGTACAGATAGGAGGAGAAAGTCACATCTGGCAAAGACGCAAGCCATTTAATTCAACACAGACAGTTTAGATGCAGATAGTTCCTTTCTGACTAAGCGTATTTAGCAGAAAATGATTAGTCAGGACATCATAAACATATTCGCTTTTGGTTTGCTTGCACATATGTGTGCATGGATATGGGGGAAATATTTATATTCATGGAATTACAAAACTCACATATATGTGTGCCAATTTCTCACACATGTTGATATATTTCGACACATAATGTTTTAATTAGCCTGCTCATCTGTATCCAAATAGTTTAAAGAGTTGCACAAATAAACAAAAACCACAAAATGAGCTAACTGAATTCCTCCCACAGACAACAAAAGGGACAGATTTCCAGGAATGCCGGGGAACCGTACAGGCTGGACACTATGGCATAATCCCCGAAGCCTGCTGTTTGGAGCATATTTGTAGTGAAACACATTGTTCTTTCATAAACAATAAAGGGAGTACAACTCTGAGAAAGAGAGACAGGCAGAACTCTGTAAACAGACTGAAATAGTCAGCGTTCCCATCAGGCTAAACAGGAAACCCAGCCAATTAGCTGTTTATTCAGAAAGCGGACTCAGAGGTCAGGGGTTGTGGAGAGAGCGCTTCCTGGACAGCCATCAGACAGATGGAGCAGTGTCCGAGGGCAGGTGACCGCACAGGCAAACGACAATGCATCTCTTTGTCTTTTCCCAATTTTCAAAGGTTGACAGAGCTTCAGAAGCAGAGAAGACGAGTAGCTTCATCCCTACCGGTTAGACTACCAGTGAGCGCCTGCTCAGCGCCGTATCGCTGCTGAAGCTCAACTGTAGATGAGTGGCTTGTTTCTGCGCGCCATAAGTGACAGATCAGACGGCAGATTCACTTCATCTACTTTCCAGAGCTATCAGACGCATGATGCATGCTCAACAGCACACTGCTAATTCAGTCCAGACTATAGATGGTATCTCAGAACTGCATTGACAATATCTCATTCACTTAACCCTTTCAGACCATAAAGGGACCCTAAGAAATCAGATGAGCTAATCGAATGAATGTAATCATATAAAAAAGGGAACAGGACCACATGCCAGACTCCAAGATCTTGTTCAGCCATTTTATGTAATTCATTTACACGAAGATCAAAGAGCAAGGGTCATATCAAGAGACATGGGTCAAAAAGAAACAGACACCAGCCGGTTTTCTGCTGTCTTCTTGTAGAGCATAGGGTTTAAAGATAATGTGTGCAGACATACAAATACAACGTAACGCAGATAATAGAAAATCATTCATTTCTGAGTTGTTCTGTATCAGGCAAAGGGATTTCTGCTGAAATCAACACATAAATGCTCTGAATTGCAAATAAACTTAGATTCTGATTTCTCAAAGCCTCTCCATTTTTTCCAATAGACCACGACTGACTGTGTCTGTGTGTCTGTCACAGATGATTGTCCACAATGACCAGTGGTGTGATTGTGTTGTTGTCCTGTCTTTACATTTTTAAGTAGTTTTTTGCTTTACCCCCTGTTGAAGATGGTCACGTCTTGTGAAATATTTGTCCCCTAAAACACAGTGTGAAGACACTATTGAAAGATGATTTTGCCACCACGTTTATGTCCAAAAGTGCACATAAACAACCTAAAAGAACAGTGTATGAAACTGCTTGGGTTGAGGTTTTAGCATGTTTTGTAAAGACAGATGTGTTTAAAGAAAGTTAATCTTTCATGCGGCTGTGAATAAAAACACTTAAATCTTTTTATACATTCCTCTAAGCGTTTCATGGGAAAAAAAATGTTTGTTTAAAAAAAAAAAAAGAACAGGAAGTGTGAGACAGGACTACACGTCCTACAAACCAGTTGACCCCCTTCATTGTGTGTCCTTAAACAAATGGTTTAGTTTTAAAGTATAAGTTTCAGTGTGTGAAAAATGTCTATTCAGTGATGGAGTTTGTAATAGTAAAAAAATAGAAAAAAAATGATTCTTGCAAAGTAAACCGCAGCAGCTCCTCTCTGTGCCACGCCACGCTCTTTGTCATTTTGCTCAATTTACTTCCTAAACCCACAAAGCCTTTGAGGGCCACATAGGGGCATGGCAGCTGTCACAAACTGCACTTGTTCACTGATTTATTTCCCCCTTTTTCCTTATGAATTTTAACTGAAGCACCATTGGCCTGATGTGCGGGCATGTGATGTGTGTGTGAATACACCTATGTGCGACTCAAACTGAAACGTATCCCGCCTTTTTCTTATTTTACTGTGTAGCTAAGAATGCCAATCGAGCCACAGAGCAGATAGGAACCTGCCACCCTTCTAGCTCCATATCCATATCTACAACACAACTCAAAGAAAGCAGGATGTCCTGTTTGCTTGTCTCAACCAACGCAAGTTTGGCATCAAGACGCTTTCGCTCTTTATCCTGTCTCGATGCCAGACACACTTAATAGTTCAGTTTTGGAAGGATATACAGGAAATGCTCCAGCCTGGTTTGGCATTCTGTGTGGGACTCAGAGAAGCTATGATAATAAAAGAAAATCAGCTGGACTCACACAGTGAGTCCGTGAGCCGAAGGCCTGTACAGCAAACCATAAACAGAAAACCAATCTTAAGACAAGATTCATATTAAATAAGGATTCATCTACGGGGGATGTTCCTGCTCTCATTACTTAGATATTACTGTGTGCTGTCTTTGAATAACAGGAGTATTTTTATTCCTTTAGAAGCCCCTCGTGCTTCATCTGTGATAAAACAGCATACACAATCATAAGATGCTCATCCGAGAATTGATAACGTTGTGAGTCCAAAACACTTAAAGAGTACAGTTTCATTGTGTTAAATACTGAAACAACCCAGTGGGCCACTTTGCAAACACCACTTGCCTTTGGATTGGTCTCTTTCCCTCGAGGACCACACGCATAATAAAAGACAAGAACCCTTGAAAGAGATTGGTAACATGGCAAAAATCCAGTCTAATTCAGAGACCTATGGGAGCCAGATAATGAGAGTGATTCTAAATGACGGTCTAAGAGAGTCATTATTAAATTAAGCCTGGTTTAATTAGCATGCCCATTTGATAATACACATACTGACCTGAGTTACAGCTTCAATTTGTGTAAATACAAATCAATACGAAAAAGAGCCTTGAGGGAACTGAACTCTGCTGAGAGCAATTTAATAAACCAATTCTGCCCTCGGAGCACAATAC